ACTGTACCTAACTATTCCACAAAATTGCGGGGTGGGATCTCATCAGCTATTGACATAAAACTGACGTTCATACATATGGAAAAGAACACACATATGTAATACTTTCTTCCTTGCCTAAAAACCCAAATGAGGCTTTGTGGCATGTTGCTCATAATAAGCTGTGTTTTGGAAATTCCATAATTATCATCTCCTCATCTTCTCATGCTCTGCTTGGACTGTGGGGGCAGCATCATTTTCTATTGCTTTGTTTGACCTGCAGAGGCAGTATATCCATATTTCTTGCAAACTACCCAAAGCTTATTGCTGCCAAGGTTATTTTAGCCTACCTTATTTTGTTTTCTGACCAGGCTAGCATATCTACTTAAAGGAATAGTGCAGAGTTTCTGCAACCCAGCCGCACATCTCATATCCTGTGTTAAATCCTCCATCCAATATTTACATTGTTAAACTTAATGCTGCCAGCATATTCTTGAGGTACTAAGTAGAAAATTCTTAGTTCTTTTCTGTGGCCCCTATGTATGCACACTAATCAGCTCTGTGCCTGTGCAGAGTAAACTTGGCAGAGTAAACTTGGAAACTTCTTCAGTTTTAGCCAGGGAACTGGTGCTTCTTACCTCTTCTTCACAGAAAGGGGAGGAATGCATGCTTAAAGCTGAGAACCTTCTTGCTCAGTTCTCTTCTAACTGTTGTGTAAGCAAGAGCTTTGGAGAGCACTCTTCAGCATTTAGTCAGTTCCCCCCTTCTTTTGGACCACAAATTTCCCAATTTGTTTGTTTGTTTGTTTGTTTGTTTGCTTGCTTGCTTGCGTGTGTGTACAAAAGTTTAGTTGTCCACATTGTAACAACATTGTCTGTGATGAAGTGGCTGCCAGGGCCACTTTGGTGGTGGTGGTGGTGGGAATCTCTCCATATTGTCTGGCCATGATAGCCATCTATCATAAAACTCACATTTTACCACTGAATTGGAGCAAATGGCAATTGGGTTTTCCACAGGAACAAATAAACCCTGCTTGGACAAGGAGCTTTAAAGTGCGGACTTTTGCCTGGAAAATGCGGCGCAAAAAGAAGTCTGGATAAGCCCTCAGAGCTGTTCTGTCTGTAAAGGCGTGAGTCCAAACTGTGCTTGCTCAGTGGTTAGGGAAACATATTCTGTGCATGCTCAGAGATACTTTTTCTTTGTTATTACTTCAGGACTTAGCTTTGCTCCAGAGATTGAATCCTGGCACAAATACGTAAAATGTGGCAGCATGATACAAGTCAGCCTGTCTGTATCAGTACATCTGCTGCACCCTCCTCCTCCTTGTTTCCACTTGTTTCTATGTGAATAAAGTGGTTGGCTTTGCATACTTTCAGTCAAGCACTTTCACATCTCCAGCTACCAATTCTGCCCCCCCAAGGCCTTTTTTTTCAGTAGCTCTTCCCACGTGCGTCTGGCTTATTGTACTGAGCAGCCAGTTTCTCCCAGAAAGACCCTGGCCTTGGTTGCAGTATCCGGCAGGCTCACCTGCACAGAAGGTCTGGTCCCATCAGCCAGCAGGCGGAAGAGAAACGGTGGTGACAAGCTGCTAAGCGAGGTGGAATTAGGAGGAATGATAATAAATGTAGATGGTCAGGCGGGAAAATAAAATGATCCATCTTTTGCATGTTCGCCAAGGTGGCTGCCCCCTCCCCATGCCCGTTCAATCAGAGCCTGTCAGACCTCCGGCAGCTTGGCATTTTTGTGAAGAATCTCTTGGCTAAAAATTGTTGTCATTCCTATTTCCTTGTTATCAGTCGTCAGCACCTCGCCAGCGCCCGGAGATTAACGCCGAATCACCGGGCAAGCATCCATCCCCCAGGAACCTTCTCCATTACGCCAAGCTCAACGGGTCCCTCCCGCCTCACCTCCCCCATCCATCATCTTTAACGCTGACAGCCCAGCATAGGCCTCTCAAATTTATCTCGCTGCGTCCTGGGCAGGCTCTATCCGTCAAACCAAGCAGGGCCTCCTCTCTCCCCTGGTTTGTTGGGGGGGGGGAGGAGGAGGAAGCCGCCCGCGTGAGGGACTCGGGGAAAGATTGGTCCGAGATACACAATTAATCACGGCTCGTATCAATTTGGTTGATTTACTCCCTGGAGAGAGAAGGGGTGTAAACACGGTGTGTGCAGAGGCAGCGTGGAGACATAATGTGTCTGTCTATAGGAAAAACATTAACAGATCATCCCTGTGGCTGCTGATTGATGGAGTTGATGGAAGAGGGACAGCCTAGTGCTGGCAGTAGTGACAGACAAGAGGATGCCAAGGTGTTGGTCCCACTTGAAAGAAGTATCCTCTTACCAAAGGCCACCTCTGCATATAAACTAGGCTCCACTAATCTGTTGAAATTGCTGTCCTGTTCACAGAGGCAGTGTCTCTTTTCCTATTTTTAGGGCCAGGTATGGAGGGCCCAATTTTAACCGCATAATGTTGCAGTAGCTAATATGGCATCTGACAGAGAATATATTTGTGTCCCTTCCTATTCTGTCCAGTGGGTTTTCTAGTAACATAAATAGCACTCCAATGTTCTGGGGAGGTCATGGAAGGGCATGTTCACACACAACTTTTTCTAGAGTGCTTATCTTCTCTGACAGGTGAAACCCTTGTATTTAGAGAAGGAGAGGAAGGAATACAGTGGTACCTCTGGTTACAAACTTAATTCATTCCAGAGGTCCGTTCTTAACCTGAAACCGTTCTTAACCTGAGGTACCACTTTAGCTAATGGGGCCTCCCGCTGCTGCCACACGGCCGCCGCGTGATTTCTGTTCTCATTCTGCGGTAAAGTTCTTAACCTGAGGTACTACTTCCAGGTTAGCGGAGTCTGTAACCTGAAGTGTTTGTAACCTGAGGTGTTTGTAACCCAAGGCACCACTGTATAGGCAAGACAGGAGAGCCTCGCCTAAGAAGGTGAGAGGGATGAGCTGACAGACATCAGGCTATAGATCCAATAGATTCCCTGAAGAGCTCCACTGTAACAACTTCCAGGGAGCCAATGCTGATATTTTAATGGAAAAAATAAATACGTTGGGAGGCATCCACCAACCATGTTCAGTCAGTGCAAGAATTTCCGCTTACGCAATGGAACACCCCCACTCAGTTCTCTCTGTGCATGCCTCGCGTCCTCCCCAAATTTGCTCCAGAAGATTAAGGGAGCCCCCAAGAACTTAAGTGCAGGGTGCAGTGAAGTTTGGAGGCAATCCAAAAAAAATGCTTCAGATTCTTTTTCCTTGTCACATTGCACTATGGAAAACGAGAACAAACAAGAAAATGTCACTGAATCGACACTGTGGTACTGAAAAGAATACATATAAGATCTGTGTTAAAAACTTAGTTGCATACTTGAAACTAGTTTTTGAGCAAGTGGTAAGTACCTTTTGTCCCCCCTCCCCAATTATATCCTTTCCTTTTGGGCTAATAGAAAACCAGCCCATTTTCCTGGCCAGGATTCATTGCTTTTCCTTTGCCAGCTGGTGGCCTTAGCACAGTCATCCTGTGCCCCAAAGTTGCTCACCTTTCACTGTGGTGTTTCCTGGATGTGACCTTGTTGCCTATGAATGGCCATAATGTAGTATGGGGGAAAGACTGAACTTAGTACCATGCATGTTGGGCCTAGACAAAAAGAATATTAGGACCAATATGATAGCCTATCTAAATGGATGCCAAGAAGATGAGGAGCAACTGTTTAATACAGATGTTAAATACAGATATCCCAGATTCACCCACCACCTTGTTCCCTGCTAATTTATAGACCAGCCTTCTTCTGATTTGCCATCCAGTAGAGCTTTTCTGGGTGCTGCAAGGCCAAATCTGGCCTATCTGGCCAAAAAGAGATGACAGAACCAACAGTAGCTCACTAATTTGTTTGCAAAGTATTTTGAGGATAAAATTACTTGCATCTGCCAGGATCTTGACTCCTCTGTTACAGCAGATGAATCTGTCTAGTTCTGTTGTGTTGGATGAATTTCAGTTAGTAAGAATAAAGGATGTAGACAAGGTGCTCGGATTGGTCAGGCTGCCACTTGTACTCTGGACCCTTGCCTCTCTTGGCTGATAATAACTAGCAGAGGGAGGGGACAGCTGGCTGGGCCAAGGAGGTGATTAATACCTCCTAATGAGAGAGGGGGTGGTCCCTGCCTGCTTGAAGGAGGCTGCAGTAAAACTATTTCTCGAGAAACCCTCCCTGGGTTCGGAAAATCTAAATAATTACTGGCCAGTTGCCCATCTCCCATTCTTGGGCAGGGTTCTTGAGTGATCCAAGTGCTCCTGGATTAAACTGATTTTCTAGGTCTATATCAATGAGGGTTTAGGCCCAGTTTTAAGTCTCTTTAACCTCTCAGCAGTTTATGAAACCATCAACAATGATATCCTTCTGGAGAGGCTATCTGAATTATAGGTGGGTGGCACTTCTTTGCAGATGGTTGTTTCCAGAGCATGATGCTTGAGGAGTGCTCTTTGACCCTGTGCAGCCTTCAGGGTTCAATTTTATCCCCCATAATGTTTAACATCTACATAAAACTGCTGAGTAGGTTCATCTAGAGTTTTGTAGTATGTTGTCAGCAATATGCTGATGACACACAGCTCTATTTCTCCTTTACACATGCTTCCTTCCAAACTTATTTGTGCATAATAGCTGGTAGTGAGTGTACACCCAACGCACAGTGTGGTATAGATTCTGTGTGTGAGTTGTGCATTAGTGCATAAGCAGTGTAAAGCTGATGTGGCGAACCGTTGGCCCTCTGGATGTTGCCGAACTACAGCTCCCATAATTCCTGGCCATTGGCCATGCTTTCTGGGGCAAATGGAAGCTGTAGTTCAGCAACACCTTGAGGGCCAAAGGTTTCCCACACCTGGTGTAAAGCCACGTCACCCATGCAAACACACCAATTGTAAGGAGTTACCATTTCAAAGAATCATAGTACAGTATTGTAGAGCTGGAAGGGACCACAAGGGTAATTTAGTCTAACCCCCTTCATGCAAGAATCTTTTGCCCAACATAGGGCTCAAAGCCATAACCCTGAGCTTTAAGAGTCTCATGCTCTACCAACCTGAGCTATCCTGGACAGAGCTTGCAGATCATAATGAGTGAAACTCCTGCTTTGCTGGTCCAATTCTGCTCCAACTGAATATCATTGTCAAATCTTCCTTTACTTCCCCGCATTGTCCTTAGGCAGATCTGGAATTGCTTTTGCAATAGCTTCTTTTTATTCCTCTCTCTTCCCCCCCTCCAAGGTTAATCATGCCTGGAGAGTTTTTTGTTTTCTTTTATTTTTGTGGAAACGATCCATAATTTTGTAGTGGCTGTTTCAAATATATATACGAGCTGATTTTTTACAGCTCATTTTTATCACCTTTTTATTATCTTGGGTCAAAAGCTTTACTGGGTTGTATTCAGGGAATTATGCAAACTAAGAGAAAATACCATAGCAAAACTATAGATTTTCTCATTAAACTCTGCTTGGACATGTAGTTATTGTAGTAAAATTCTAGTAACTATTACGGTGCCTAATATAAAATTATAGTTTGACACCTTGACGCCAGTGGCCCTGCCTTCGGTTCAAATTAACCCCTCCTGTGCTGGAATAAAAGCTGGCTTCTGTGAAAGGAGATATCCAGTGGCTCCCTGGAGGCCTATGAATGGATTGATCGCAATACTGCTGCCATGTAGAAGCAACCATCTGATTCTTTCCAAGCAGCTACAGCCCTTACTCAGCAGCAGGCCAGGCATCTCTTTCTGTATTTGTTTCAGAGGAGGGAGTAGGGCAAGTGGCCTTTAACAAAAGGGATGCTAGTGTTTTTTGGAAAATATAGTCTTGATAGGCCATTCAGCTTAGGATACTAGAAGCTGATGTAGCAATCTGCAATACACTTATTCTGGAGCAGTACCACCTGCATCTTCCCTTAACCTCTAGTCTTGAGACACTGTTAATTTCTACAGTGACCTGGAAGTTGTGCCTTCTGTCCAGAAAACTCTGGAAAGCCTGTGTGGTATAGCTGTTTAGAGTGTCAGACTGAGGAGAACCAGCTTCAGAGCTCTCTCGGTCACAAAGCAGGGCACATTGGGATACTCATCATCTCGCAGCCTCATCTTCTATACAGGGTTGTGGTGAGAGATAGATGGTGGAGGGGAACCATATATGTTGCCTTGAGCTCCTTGGAGAAAGGGTGGGATATAAATTTAATAAATAAATAAATAAATAAATAAAAGTTGTCTCAATCTTGCATGCATGGAAGATACTAAGGAAGAAACAAAAGACACTTTGAGCATGCTCAGCACATGTTTCCAAGGCTGTATGCACATTTCTGGCTAAAAACAGATTGAGGTGGTTCTTTTTCTAAATTCGGATTGAAGCTGGTTGGGGCTATTTGAATGCATTGCCAGTGATCCTGATGAGCCTTCAGACCTTGACATCCCAGCCACGGGACTGGAGGTTTCCACACTGGTTGTCTGGGTTCCTTGCTGGCTCCTGGATCTCCTCTCATTATGTCCACGAGCATAGGAGTTGGCATGTGAGGCAGGAGCTTTCAGGGATGCTGGCAAAGTACCTGGCTTGCCACACATGAAGGGGGGAAATGCATGTACGCACCTGCCTAATCAGAACCTGGCTAAGAATTAGGAAGGGGTGAAGTCTCCAGTTCCAACATCAGCTCTCAGTGTGAACCCCAGCATTCCTGAAGCAACAGCATTCTGCCATTCTTGAACTTGGTAGCAGACAAGAAGCTGTTGGAGCTTGGCTGTCCTCCCTTACTTGCATAGAACCTTAAGTGTGGAGAGAGGCCTGCATATAGAAATACCTCATTTTTGCACCAAAAGATTGTGTGAGCATGCCTAAGTTACCTAGGCATGACTTCATAATGAAGACTTGCTCCTGTGCTCTACCGTGTCTGAAGCATGCATGCTCAGACTGTGTGTGAACTGGATCGATCCTTTAATAAAAGTAAAGCTTAGCATCCCCCCCCCCCCCCGCAGTATAAATTTCCTCTTCCGGTTGCCCTGATAGTTTCATTCCCTTGGGTCTATGAGGTTATATGTTGGGAGTGGCTGCATGTTCCTTCTGCACTGTCCACATGATTTCCTAGATAGTTATGCAAAAAATCCTTGACCAGCATGGAGACAGTACTCCCAGCTGCCAGATCCACATGATGACTTAGTAATCCATTTGTGTCACCATTTTATAGTAACCTGACTTGCAAATTCTATCCTTGCTCTTGAGGTTTTCCTTGTGTTCAGCTTGGCTAGAAATGAGACCAGATAAACAGTAGGGGTATGTATAGCAATATAATTATTGCTTTATTTAATTAAGCTAGTGAAAGTCTACTCAAATGGATAGGTTACTCTGGCTGGAAATGCAAAAAAATGCAAGGTTTTATGTACGTTAGTTGTGCTCAGCTTCATAGGAGAGACTTTCTTCAGACAGTGTCCTATCTGACTGACTGTTCTAAAGAAATTTGTATTGCGTGTAGCCAGGCTCTGGAAACATTTCCTTTTGATTGTCTTATTAACATTTTAAAGCCACATAGATAATAACCTGGGGTAGCATGACAGTTCAGCAACTTCGTTTGAGGGAAACACTTAATCATATTTATTATGTAAACACAGCATGCCTTGCCCCCGTTAAATTATTAATAGTACCATTAACATATTTACATATAAATCTTATTGCAATTGATGAAAACTGTGAACAGAACCTCACACTGTCTCCCCTTTGTAGAATAGATTCTCTGTATTTTACAGAGACCCATTTATTAAAGGGACAAAATACTTTTTTTTTGGCTCAAAGTTCATGTCGAAAATGTTGCCTCCGCAGTTTTGGAAATTGGCATTAATGTGAAACCCAGTGACACTGATTTCTTCCCCCCACAATCTTCATTTCTTTTCAAAATGTCATTATTATATAGTGTAATTAATGGAAAGGATTGCATTGCATTTCAGTTGCTCTTGTAGCATTTAAAATTTTTTGATGAATAAGAACCAGCCCCCTGCTAATATAATAAGGATGGCTGATAGTTAAAGGAAAATATCAGAATTTCATTATTTTCCTTTGTATTGATAATTTTACTCTAATAGTCTTAGAAGATAACAAATACAGACAAGCTGATATATTTAATTGGATCAATGTCTGGGGAATTTCAAAAGCTTTCATGGGAGTCCATCATGTGTATCTTGCAAGCCACATATCCCTACACAAATCAAGGATAGTCCAGTGACACTATCCCTTTCCTAGCCATCTTCTCCTTAGCAACAACTATAAAAAATAGAACTCAGAACCTATCTTCTCTCTTTTTGTTTTGTTTATTGTTACCTTTAAGCTTAACCTGGTGTGCTGAGCATGCCAACTTGATTGTATCATCTGCAACAAATTCTTTGGGGTTTCTTTACCATTGTAGAACTGTCCTACTCCAGACCAGTATTCCTCAACCTTGGATTCCCAGATGTGGTTGGATTACAACTGCCATCACCCCCAGCCTCTGCTTTATCTGTCTGGGGGCTATGGGAGCTGTGGTGCAACAATATCTGGGGACCCAAGATTGAATAATATTCCTTTAGTCATCCCTCCAAGACTGAATCCCTTTTGGAAAGTAAGGAAGCATTTTATATTTTCCTTTTTCTTTTCTTTTTTGTATATATTTTTTATTAAATTTTCTGTTTTATCATTTAAAATACTCATTTTACATCCTTACGATATCAATGACTTCACTTCTTCTCTTTCCATGGTTCATTTTACATATCATAAATCCCTGCATATTTTACAAAAACTATACCATTCAGTATTTCATTATTACATCCATCAAAACATATTTACACTGTTGAATTTATCTTAATGCTGTCAGTGTTTTCAGATTTGTACACAAATTATTTCCCATATATTCAATAAACGTTTTCCAATCTTCCTTAAACCTATGTTCTTCTTGTTCTCTTATTCTATATGTTAAGTCTGCAAGTTGTGCATATTCTGTCAACTTAAGTTGCCATTCTTCTTTGGTTGGGACCTCGCTCGATTTCCATTTTTGGGCTAACAAAACACGGGCTGCAGTAGTAGCATACATAAATATTTATATTTTCTTCCACTAGGACTAATTCCTGTTCTTGGCATAGCCATGTTACCCTAGACTCCCTGTGCTTCAGTTTATTCTCCTGAAGCTTTGAACCATTAGCATGAACAGGAAGGCAGTGGCAAAGAATACATGTATCTACATACTCCCTATACTCACCTTGTTCTGAATGCTGACTATAAATTCTTTCTTGGAAAAAATAAGTATTTGATATAAGTGTTTGATCCTCCCCCCTACCCCCAGCAATTTCTCATGAAACAGGCACTTTCAGAAAAATCATAAGAAAGCAATTGTTTCAAATTGGTCATTTGGGACTCAAATTACTAATCTAATACATTTTTATGGAGGTTTTCTGAGAGCTCCTATAAAATACAGTCTGTGAAGCTGCCCCAACATACCAGCGTTTTGAGTCTGACAGATCGAACCCAACAATCTCTCTGGGCTATTCAGGTTTAGGACCTGTGAGGCTGTTGCTGCCACCATGATAGAAATGTTTATATTCCTTCATCAATAGTGCCTGCCTTGCCAAGAGTTTTAAATTCTTCTGGGGTGGATTTTCCACCTTGCCCTGATTGGGGGTGGGAGGTGGGGAGGGGACAGAAATGGAGCATTTGAAAGAGGAGAATTGAGGAGCACTTTCTAGATGAATTCCCTCCAGTTGCACCCTGTCTTGCCACCAATTTGGGATATCGAAATCCGAGTTCTTAGACTAATGTAGTTATTGGCTCATTTCTCTTTTTGTCTGGATAGAGAAGAGGTTGCTGTAGTGAGAAGAGTGTTGGGTCCCTTTCTACTAGGGCTCTTTAGTGGGACGACAACCCCACCCACCCATACCCTGGGAACATTTGTGGTATGACATTTCAGCAGGAGGCTATGGGACACACCCTGATTGGAAACAAATCTACCCTAAAAATATTGCAGGTGCAAAAAATAGTGAAAGAGACATAATGCATAACTGCTCCAATATCATCATGAGGACAAATCATTATGAATGCATGATCTGAAGAGTT